GGGGGGGGGGGGGAAGTCCCGCCCATTTGTGATGCTCTCTGCCCTATTAGCATATACACAGCCCTGAGTGAGAAGCAGCGGTCCGCCATTACTGTTTTCTTGCTGTAGCTGCTGGAGATACAATGTCAGCGCCAAAGAGCCATTAAAAGTGTTGTGTGTTGGGATGCACCAACGAACATAGGAGTCTCCATAGACCGCTGAGGACACGGTGGTTAAATTTCATTTTCGAAGGAAATGTCCCGGAAAAAAATGGAAAAGTCCTATACGTTTGTGCTAACATTTTACACCGGACTGCCTCACAAACGAGGGTCAGTTTAGCGCTGGTTAAATTTCATTTTCGAAGGAAATGTTTCAGAAAAAAACGGAAAAGTCCTATATGTTTGTGCTAATCATTTTACGCAGGACCACCTCACAAACAAGGGTCAGTTCAGCGCTGGAGTTTGACAAAGATTTCTTCTGAAAGAGGGATCGATACCAACGCTTCGCACGCGAACGTCAGCTCCAGACAAAGTAAGCATCACATGTTGTATTTTGTTTTCCAAAAGAGCTTCTTGGCTCTCTGTAAGGCTAATGTTGCTAAAGCTACCATTGTCTCTGCCTGTTTTCACTAATGCTGCCTTCACGTGCTACCAGAATGATCGTAAATAGGAATGTGGCAGTTAAAAATTGCATTTGGAAGTAATGTGAGGTCAGTAACACGGTCACCACCAGTTAAACCGTAACAAACTCTGGGGACATCAGAGAACAATTTAAAATATTGTATCAATGCATTCTATGGCACCTTTAAATATAATGTACAGTATGAAATATACAAATTTTCAGATTAATATATTTAACTGCTAAATTATTAATGTTTTTAAAGATTAACTTTAGGCGAGTGTTAGCATAATTCACATGTAAACATAGGCTAAATGAAGCATGCAAAAATAAATATCCAATTTCAATATCCAAAAAAAAACTCTAACTCTAATACTGGCTAATAATTGATATGGTACCAATACAGCACTGTGTATCCCTAACCAGAGGGCATTATGTGCTTCTAGAATCTCTTACATTGTGAATTCTGAAGAGGCAGAGGGCCACAACGTGGGCACACCATTTGGCTCCTGCTCCGCAGGTGCAGCTGCAGGAAGTGATGCGGCAGCGGTCAAACATTACAGCCACATTGTAGGCTCCTTTTGATTGGCCGGCCTGGGGCGACACTACTGTGGCACTGAGGTGGAAACCTGTTTGAGAGAACCAAAGCCTGTTAAGTCTGTGGTAACACATTTCAACTCAAATCTAGTTCACATTCTCTTTACACTCTGGATAAAAACATCCTAGTTATTGGGGAGTAAGTGGTTGTGAAATACAGTTTAATATGAAAACGAAAACACAGTTTAATTGCAAAACTTTTGCAATTTATTAGCTTTATTGCACACTATATATAACAAACAAAAATAAGAACCCACATTATTATATTTGCACCAAGTGCAAGGAGGTTTTGGGACAATTTGGGAAACATTAATGTTTAAAAGTCTGAGGGAGTTTGCTGACTGTAAGACTGAATGATATAACAGCAATTGTACTGTACACAGACCATACAGGAAATGAAAGACATCTGAGATGAGGAGAGAGAAAGAAAGAGTCCAAATGTGTGTGTGTGGAGAGTTGAGTGTAAGGGGTTGGCCAAAAGCTTTTACCACTAGATAGCGGCCAGCACTACTCTGGCCAGCAAGAGCAGAGGTGGGGGTGGTGGGTAGTTTCAGCTTATAGTTCCTGATCCAAATTCAACGTGCCTCCTCAAGCCAACTCTACTACACCACCTCTTTTTTTCTTTCAGTCTACCAGTTAGTGCCAAAAGCACCCTTCTTTTCCTTTATTCCTGACCCACATTCTCCTGTCAGCTGTCCCGGCTAAAACAAAAGGCCCAAAGAATTGAATAATCAATCTTGATTTAAAAAAAAGAACCTTTGTATAAAACAGTGTCTTTCTTTAATTTAGTGAATCACTGCCTGGGCCAATAATCACATCATGACTAGAGCCCGACCGATATGGGTTTTTTGGGGCCGATACCGATGGTTTTCCATAGACTTAAGCTTTAAAGCGTTTCATCCAGGTCGCCAGTAGCAAACAATGGAGCGCGCTCTGCTGGACAAACTAAGTAATTACACCATTTCAAGCATTTTATCTGCATTATATGTTCTGTAAAAAAAATTTTCATATCGGCAGCATATTCGCCGATGCCGATATATCGGCGACATGCTCATATCGGCCGATAATATCGGCAAAACGATATATCGGTCGGGCTCTAATCATGACTGCAAATGTCACTGGGTTGTCAACAGTTACACATCATGAAAGAACATAATATTGGGCTGCATATACAGTGATGTAAAATATCCCAGCAGGCAATGCAGCAATTCTGGTGAACAGACTAATAAGTCTGTAGCAGCAACCAGGGAGTTTGGGCATGTTGTGTAAAGGCTGATCCTTGGAGATTTAGCATTGTATTCTGACTATGATGTTAAACAAAGTGCAATGGGAAGAGTTTTGGAAGCACTTCCATTTAGGTGCAGCTGTTCTGTGTTTGACCTTTCTGGCTCCACTCTGGTGAAGTGAGTGAGAACGTTTGATTTGACCTTGACGGGCAGTTGGGAGGTCATTGTGGTGGGTGGTCACTGACTGACCAGGGCAGTTAGAGGAGGATGGTTTTTTTTCTGGTTTCGAGGAAATTTTCAGGATCATATAATTGATCATAACACCCCCCCCCCCTTAAAATTTGCTACCACACAGTAAACAAAGCGGTGAGCGAAACAAACATAAATCAGAGGAACCAGGCACTTAGAGTGTTCAAGATGCAAACAAAACGTGAAGTATGCTTCTGAAAAACAAGCTGGTTGGATTTTTACCTTCTAATTAAACAGCAAGATCACTATTATTTTTAGAACTATTGACACATCTTACCCTGAAGCATCTGACTCATTTAATAACTCACTGCTAATCTTGAGCAAAAAACATTTTATATTTAACAAATTAAATTAAATTTGATATGCAAAATACTATGGCCTGGTTTCACAGACAGGACTTAGGTTAAGCCAGAATTAGGCCATAGTTCAATTAGGACATTTAAGTATTTTTTTATAAAAGTGCCTTAGAAAATATCATTACTCGTGTGAATCATGAGACAAAACAATGGCATTGACATATTTTAAGATCAGTCAGTGCAAGTTTCTTTCAGTTAAAACAGCCCAGACATGCATTTAAGTCTGGTACTAGGCTTAAGCCTTGTCTGTGAAAGCGGGGGGTACATCAATGGAAATATCCAGAGAGCAAGGTGAACAATGTTTTGCCAATAATATACATTATACAATTTCATTTCTTTTGTATGTCTCATGTATGACCATAAAAACAAATGCATAACAATAATAATGTTAATAATAATGCATAAAAATAACAAAAAATGTTTCTTGAGCAATAAATCAGCATATTAGAAAAATCATGTGACACTGAAGACTGGAGTAATGATGCTGAAAATTCAACTTTCATAGCAGAAATACATTCAATTACAACATACATTAAAGGGGTCATATGATGCGATTTCAATTTTTCCTTTCTAAAACTGCATAAACACATTTCATTACATCAAATACACAAAATAATGTTCTTTTTAGCAATATCATATGACCCCTTTAAACAAACGAAAACATTTTAAAATTGTAGTAATATTTTACAATATTACTGCTTTTACTGTATTTTTGACCAAACGCAGCCTTGGTGAACATGAGATTTTTTTAAATATTTAAAAACAAAAAATTTGCGACCACAAACATTTGAACGGTAGTGTATATTGGTACATTGACAGAGTTTAAGGCTATGTTTTATCCTTTTTAAGAGGTGTCTACACTCTATGGGCAGTTTAAACACTCAGTGAATAACTCTGTGAATAAGCACGCAGGCAGACCCCTTGAGGGTGTATGTGCGGGATTGGTCAGGCTCGGGCCAGCTGCATCATGACTTCCCTCTGCTGCTGTACAGCCCACTGCCTCCAACAACAGCATTCATTCACACGGCCTGAGCTCAAATCACTCATACATACAATCTTATGTGCCATGTCTCTGGTTTTCTCTCAGGCCAAACACAAGGGTGGCTTATTCTGAATGCTATTTTAAGATCTGCATCTTAAATTGCATCCTAAAATTCTATTTTAAGATTGATGTCAAAAAGTGTTTAATGCAGCAAAGCAACTTTCAGAAGCTTTTGGTCAAAAACACAGCACTAATGACATGGTAAATGTGGGATGTCTTTGATTTCTCACCTATCTGTAGAGGGTCTTTCACAGCCCTCACTCTATAGAGCTGTTCGCCACGCTGGAACTCATCAGGGCTGCCATTGGCCAAACAGGAGTATAATCTGCAAGGACAGAGAGAAGAAAGAACTTAAACTGAGCATCCCGTCACACTCTAAATCTTAAAGGGCATTCTGGTAACTCACTGGTTAATCTTATTAATCGTAAAGGTCATCACAAGCATTTGAAAGCAAAGGCTGATAATATATTAGCTATTACAAGACTTTCACCTGATGTCCTCCTCGTTCTCTGGGAAGCTCCAGTAGGCAATCCGCAATTGCAGCTGCTCAGGAACGGGAGGATAGACCTTTTCCACCACCTCAAATGGAATATGGAACGCCACCTGCTTGGCCGACAGCTCCACCAGAGGGATGACTTGTCCATCTAAGAAGCAATATCAGAATTACTTTTTTTGTTGTGGGTAAACTACATGCTTAAAGAGTGAAATTAACAGCATCAATGGATATTAAGCAGAAATATGAAGGCGTATTCACACCAAAACACTTTAATTTGAATGAATGCCTATTATCATGACTATTCAGACTGAGACTAACAGCCAACAGATTTATTTTTAAGGAGAGGTGTTCTAATCTCTTTGCCATTGCACTGCAAAGAAAACTGGCCAATAGGGTTGTGACGGTGAGGAAATTTTCCCACCGGTTAATCGACGTTTGACAACACCAGTAATACCAGTATCACCGTGGGGGCGGTCCCTCTTTTTCTCGCTTTACTTCGCTTTAAAATAGCTTGTAAAAGCGGCGTGCGCATTTAACTTTCACTTTCAAATAGCGGCAATTCGGCGTAAAGCAATTGTTTGTTTTTATTTTGTTTGAATTTTCCATATTTTCCTTCGCTTTTAAATAGCTTAAATCGAATCAAATTCTAATCAAATTAGCAGCAGTTTGAATGCAACAACAAAATACAACGTCAAACTCACTTTAGCGATATAAAACATTGAACTTTTATTAACAAAACAAATAAAAATACACCATGCTAAAGGGCAGGCTATGCCTAATATAAAATAACAAATAACTTACATAAAGTTTAAATAGGTATACAAAACTGGAAATAGGCTAAGTAAACATGTATAATATATATATATAACCAAATAAATAAGAAACATAGAACGTTTATTAGCAAAACGAGTAAGAAAGCTTGGAGGCACGGCATGCACCTTGATGTCAAATAAAATAAATAAATGACAAAGTTTAAATAAAGTAAAAATCAGCAAACAATGTGGAACCAATTAAATAAGAAACAAATGTTTAAAAAAAACGGCAAAAGTCAACAGGCTTTTCAAAATCCAGAATATTGCCAAACGCTTCTGCATTTAGTTTCGAAACCAAATCATTCGCGATCGTCTAGTCTGTCTCACCTCACTCTTCTTGTCAGTCAGCTCGACTCACTCTCCTCACTGGATAAATGAAATCTGATCGGTGATGCGACCGTCGTTTGGCACGCTGCATTGAGCAGCCGCGTTCAGTTTTTAATTGTAGTGTCTGTTCTTTTACTGAACTAAATGATTTTTATTAGGCTACTACAAAACGAATCAAAACGACGGTGGGGGTCGGTGCCGCGGTGGGCACGTGACGTAACCGGTGTTGCGGCTTAACACCGGTATCACCGTCAACACCGTCTATCACAGCAGTATTCCAGTATCCTGCAGGGTCCTGGATTCAAGTCACCAATTTCCTCCAGACAATGATAAGAGTGGCCAGGCTGTAAGAATGAAAAACACTCAGATAAAAGACACTCCTTCAAGAGCAACTGAATATTTGTGCCTACAGTCTAAAGTGAACTCAGACACAGGTTTCAGTGGCAGTGCATATAATGAAACTTTATTTTCTACATTGAGCTGCAGGGCTGTAGTGACATACTTATCTCATTAGATATTAGCAAGATCCATCTGAAATGAACATCAACATCAGGTGGTCATTATTATAACAGCTTTAGGCAATTGGACTGTAATCCACTGCACTCGGTCACCTTAGAGCTGGATCTCACATTACACTCAGGCAGACACTGCACTCATATACAACTGCCACATGGAGATTTCACATGAAGCCATGCTATATTTTTCAACACATTATATTATGACTACACCATGTCATGCTTAACAACTTTAGACTTGACTATGCTAGCATTATAGCACAGCCCTTAAGTGTCTTAGTATTTTTATAAAATTTATTATTATATAATAAAACATTAAGGACAGCTGCAAGGTCAGAAATTAACTTTTACATAAAGGGGCAATATTTGCCTCTGGAATTGGTAAGGGCAATTTTAATAATTACCTGATTAATCGATTTATATAAACACACTTATTCATTCAAGAACAAAACAAGTGACTCTCTTTACAGGCTTGTCCCAATACCACCATTTGTGGTCTTGGCCACTTAAAGGGTTAGTTCACCCAAAAATGAAAATTAGTCCATAAATTACTCACCCTCAAGTCATCCTAGGTGTATATGACTTTCTTCTTTCAGACTAATCCAGTCGGAGTTAAATTGTCTTTGATCGTTCAAGCTTACAGGATCAAAGGAAGCAAAGTTTCCTTACTTTAGCAAAGGAAAACCAGTCCCCTCTTGGCTTATATCGAAATTCTCCGTCATTCTTCTTTACAAATCCTCGTTTTGTACTTCTAATAAGTGACCGATGTTGATCTCTTTCCTGCGCTTCCGCGTTCGTCACTTCTGAGTGGCGCATGATACGTCATCCGCCCGGAGTTGCTTCCATGTACAACAGTGAGCGCAAGCTAAATTAAATTGTTCATTACATTTTAAATATGGTTATATTTTTCCTACAAAAATGCATCGATTCGCTACAGGAGGACTTTGTTCACCCCCCCGGAGCCGTGTGAGACACTTTTTTTTAATGGATGGGTGCTTTTTATTTAACTTCTTTTAGACTGATGCACTGCAACACCCGCTGAGTGCCGTTAAACAGCTTGAAAGATCAAAGTAGGGCTGCACAATAAATCGCATGCGATATTTAATTCGCATCTTGTCAGTAAAGCCGTTCTGTAATCAGCGGTAAATCTCCATCACGTGCGTGCTTTCACATTGAATACACCTAGGATGACTTGAGGGTGAGTAATTTATGTGCTAATTTTCATTTTTGGGTGAACTAACCCTTTAAGTCCATGTGCACATGACAGTCCCAGGTCTGATACATGCCAAAGCTCAGTGCCCTTAACACACATTAAATCCAAACTCTTGAATCATTCATTCAACAGACTCGTTCAAACACTCTGATTCATTCAGGAATTAAACAACTGACTACGAGCAAGTCATCGAATCTTTCTATCTACTGATTTGTTCAAAAATACTGATTCATTCAAGAATGAAAAAATCCGTTTTTGCTTGAAGATGCACAACATTTTTTCAGCATTGACATTTGGAACATTTTCCATTTGCAAAACAAAAGCGAGAATTTCCAATGTTGTGTTTACAATGCAAGTTATTCAATAGAAACTACTGAACCACTGAATAAAAGCAATCAAGCGCCTCAATTTTAAGATTCTTTTAAACAGAAACACACCATATTTATTTTAGTCCATTAGCACAAAGTGTGCCCATTCTACTAAAAATGGGTCATGTTCCGCATTGTTTTATCTAGGGTTAAATCAGCCACCCTTAACCAAAAAGGGCAATTGTCAAGTAATGTCAATAAAAACACTACAATATTAACCTCACAAAAAAGTATGCCAATAACCTGCAACTTAATATTTTACCAATACTGTTCATCAATTTACCTACAGTACAACCTGGTGTTTCGGCTGTCAAGCAAAGCATTAAAATAAGCGTCATCGTGATCAAATAGTAGATGCAAACCACACCATTACGAGACACCCACATAATCGAAAACCAACCGCCAAAAGATGAGACACTAAACTACTTTGGAGATGAATTACCCAGACCACAAACAGATACAAGAATACATTATAGACAGACAGTGGGAGTCATAGAGACAACGACTTCACAGGGGACAGGTGACTCATTAAAGGTGCTGCCAACAAACAGCTGCTGAGCAAAAAAGTGTGTATAAATGTGAGTGAGATCCCAATGAATCAGGTGGCACACTCACAGCCAGTCTTGGCTGACTAAACCATGGTGACCAACAGAAGAAGAGTTAACACAGGCTGAGAGATAGCTTTGTCTTTTGTGAGGTAGTGAATAGGTGAGACAGTCTCTCATACGGCTGCACGATAAATCGAAATGGAATCGAAATCGCGATTCGACAGAAGCTGCGATTGTCATGCGTAT